GCACAGTGGCTCAAGCCTGTAATCCCTCACTTTGAGAGGCTGAGGTGGGCGTATCACTTGAGGTCAGGAGTTCAAGACCAGCCTGACCAACATGGAGAAACTCTGTCTCTACTAAAAATACAAAATTAGTTCTGAAAAGAATCTGGGTAGAAATAAAAGAAAAAATAAACAAAATAAATAAATAAATAAAAATACAAAATTAGCTGGGTGTGGTGGTACATGCCTGTAATCCCAGCTACCTGGGAGGCTGAGGCAGGAGAATCACTTGAACCCAGGAGGTGGAGGTTGCAGTGAGCCAAGATCATGCCATTGCACTCCAGTCTGGGCAATAAGAACAAAACTCCGTCTTAAAAAAAAAAAAAAAAAAGAAAAGAAAAAAAAAAAAAAAACACCTTAACAGGCTCTCCTGTCTTCAGTCTCGGCTCTTCCTGTACCTCCCACTGCTCTCTGACCTTGCTAAAGCTAAACAGACCTCCACTCCTGCCTGCTCAAGGACCTCCACAGCCTGCCACATTCTACAGAACAAAGCCAAGCTCCTGAGTTTGGCATTCAAGACCTGTTCTGGCCTTAGCCTGACTCTCCAGCCTCATCTTTTCCATGACTGTGTATATCACCCCCCTACCCCAACTCCACCAAGACGCAGGAATTCCAGCTAGATTAGATGACTTGTACAGAACACTCTCCATGCTTTCACTCCTGCCTGTGCCAAAGTGATGACATCTTTACTTTTTTTTCTTTTTTTTTGAGACAGAGTCTCGCTCTTGTTGCCCTAGCTGGAGTGCAACGGTGTGATCCCAGCTCACTGCAACCTCCACCTCCCGGGTTCAAATGATTCTCCTGCCTCAGCCTCTTGAGTAGCTTCAATTACAGGCATGCACCACCACACCCAGCTAATTTTTTATTTTTATTTTATTTATTTATTTATTTTTAGTAGAGATGGGGTTTCACCATGTTGGTCAGGCTGGTCTTGAACTCCTGAGCTCAGATGATCTGCCCGCCTTGGCCTCCCAAAGTGCTAAGATTACAGGCATGAGCCACTGTGCCAGCTTATTTTTATATTTTCATTGTTTTTAAAGGGCAGTGAACATGGTCTGGTCCAGCTATTTGTCAGAATTTTTTTTTTTTAAAGCTTCTTGCAGAGCAGGGCTAACTCATAGGCAGCATGCCCAGAGTCAGCCTAAATTTTATTTTATTTTAAGATGGAGTCTTGCTCTGTTGCCCAGGCTGGAGTGCAGTATAAGTAGCACGATCTCGTCTCACTGCAACCTCTGCATTCCAGGTTCAAGCGATTCTCCTGCCTCAGCCTCCTGAGTAGCTAGGATTACAGAAGGGCCCCATCACGCACAGCTAATTTTTCTATTAGTAGAGACGGGGTTTCACCACGTTGGCCAACCTGGTCTTGAAGTCCTGACCTGGTGATCCGCCCACCTCGGCCTCTCAAAGTGCTGGGATTACAGGTGTGAGCCACCGTGCCCGGCCCTTTTTTTTTTTTTAATTTTGTATTTTTACTAGAGACGGGGTTTCTCCATGTTGGTCAGGCTGGTCTCAAACTCCCGACCTTAGGTGATCTGCCCACCTCTACCTCCCAAAGTGCTGGGATTACAGGTGTGAGCCACCAAGCCCAGCTGTGATGACATCTTTTCTCATCCTTTAAGCCCCAGCTCATATGATTTACCTTAGGAAACTTCCCAGGCTGCTCCCATCCCCACTCCAGGGAGTCAGTTGCCCGGCTCTGGCCTCCCATAGTAATCTATGCTTCCTCCGCCATGGCGTATATCTTACCGTAAGGCTTCTTTTCTCATCCTTCTTATTATCTTGTCTCTTATTCCCTAGACTGAAAACTATCTATGGATTTCATCTCTATTTTCCTAGGACCTGTTTACTCAGGACCTGTTTACACTGTAGGTCCTCAATATTTGCTAAAAAAGTGAATGAACCCAGCTTACCTGTTTCGCAGTCCCAGAGACGACAGCTGTTGTCAGCTGAGCCAGTGAGGACATGCTTGGTGTCCCCTGAAGAGTTGTTAAGAAGCATGACAAAGTTCACCTGGGCCCTTGTCCTCTCATCTCCCTGTTCAGCCCCAAAGAGCCCTTCTTCCCCTCTTACCTCCTTATTCAGAACTGGAACTTGTCCTGAATGTTTCCTCAACCAGTGAAGAGACCAGGGAGTAGGAGATATCATTCTCTAGGCCCTCAACAGCACCCCCAACTCCCACCTTCCAACTCAGCCTCTCCACTGCTGGCAGACCCTGGCAGCACGGATTCAGAGCCAAAACAAGGATACAGTCAGCGTCCACACACCACACAGCTCCAGTATGGCCCATGTAGGTGCCCAGCCTCTCGCCATTCACAGAGTACCATACATTGACTATCTGGAAAAGTCAAACACAGGATGGTACATGTCCCAGTAAAGCAATGGCTTCCTATTTTGCCCCAAGAACCCTCAGCAGCCTATAGCCAGGCTGATTCTGCCGTCTTCTGCCCATTTCTTGGGAAATAGGGAGCTGGTAAAAAGACCAACTCCTGGATTCTCCTCCCTTCCTGAAGATAAGCACCAGAGAAGTCAGGCGCCTTGCAAAAACATCCTCATTTGCTAGCCACAGCTCTCCTGGCACTCCCAATGGCTCCAAAGAGTAAAAGGTCAAGTTGAGCTCCAGTCCAGAAAAACAGTATCTTTGATGTCTTATCCAAGTAGGAGCAGTTGGTAGTAGGGAAGACTGGGTTCCAGTGCCTGCTCTGCCACTGTCTCACTGTATGATCTCAAATACATTGCTTCTGACCTGTGAACTTCAGTTTTCTCATCTTGAAAATGGCCAGGACAATAATTTTTTCTTCAATAGGTAGCTGTAAGGCTCCAATAAAATAATGTCTAAGGAATTTAAAATGTAAGTGACTAGGCCGGGCGCGGTGGCTCAAGCCTGTAATCCCAGCACCTTGGGAGGCCGAGGCGGGTGGATCACGAGGTCAAGAGATCGAGACCATCCTGGCCAACATGGTGAAACCCCGTCTCTACTAAAAATGCAAAAAAATTAGCTGGGCATGGTGGTGTGTGCCTGTAATCCCAGCTACTCAGGAGGCTGAGGCAGGAGAATTGCCTGAACCCAGGAGGCGGAGGTTGCGGTGAGCCGAGATCGCGCCATTGCACTCCAGCCTGGGTAACATGAGTGAAACTCCGTCTCAAAAAAAAAAAAAAAAAAAAAAAAGTGACTAACATTCATTAGGCACTCAAATGCATAGGTGCTCTGCCAAGCTCCTTACATTATCTCATTTAATGCTAAAGACAATCCTGTAAGTACCCAGTTTTATAAAAAGGGAAACTACGGTTTAGAAAGGTTAAGTAACATACTCAAAATCACACTGCTAGTAGATGTAGGAGTCAGCATTCACATCAGGTTTGTCTGACTTCAGAGACCCCACTTTTAACCACTAGTTAACTTCCTCCGTATGGAGGTGCCTCAAAAGGCAGTATCACGAGGGACTGTTTTGCATTGAGTAGCAGGATGGGATGGACTGAAAATGAGACTAGAGACACCCTCAGTTAAGTCCCCTGTATCTGAATAACACGGCCTGCACCTATCCCGGTAGAAAGGTTAGATCATCCCCCGAAAGGTCGCATCCCGTTCTCTGAGCAAGCTGACCCTCATCCTCATCCCCTTTCCACAGTGGTCTCTTGCTTTTCTTGGGGTGCAGTGGCACGATCTCAGCTCACCAGGTTCAAGTGATCCTCTCGTTTCAGACTTCGAAGTAGCTGAGCCCAGAGGCTCGAGCCACCACATCAGGCTAATTTTTGTGTGTGTAGAGATGGGTCCCACTATGTTGCTCAGGCTGGTCTCCAACGCCTGGGCTCAGGCGATCCTCCCCTCTCAACCTCTCAAAGTGTTGGGATTACAGGCGTGAGCCGCTGCACTCAGCCAAACGAGTTCTTCCCCACCTTTTCCGGTACTCTCGCCAACCTACCCCCGGGATGTCCTCTCCCTACTTCTCAAAATGGGCCGTTTCTTTGGTTCCCCCAATCGGGAAAACTGGCATGTCCACCCATCTTCCTGGCATAAGGAACTCGCCCCTCCCGGGCCCCCTCCCGAGCCCTCCCTTCAGCCGACGCTCACAGGGTCCTTGGCCACAGTAAAGAGGAGGTCTCCTTCGCGGTTATACTTAATCTGCGTAATGGACCGCTCATGGCCCTGCAGCAGGATCGGCTTCTGTGGGAACAAGACAGTAACGTCAGTGCCCGGAATTGGGTCCCGGCCTCAGCCCAGGACCCTCACTGCAGTACCCCAAACTCTGGAACTCACCATCCCGGCGATGATACGAAGACCGCAACGTGAGTAGGACCGGAAAAGGCTTTGGAACCACTTCCGGATTGTGGGTCTCCGCCCCCTCGCTCCCGGAAGTAGAAGACAGCAGCGTTGCCATGGCGGCGTCTCTGGGTAGGTAGCTAGTCCCGCCCCTCCATGGATTTCTCGAATTCATTTAGAATTCATTTCCTGCTCCATGTCCCCCGCCCCAAATCCCAACCCCTGCTACAACCCCAGAGCCGGACTCCTGGATTCATCTCCCCAGCCTCCCGGGGCCTTTCCTAGCCGCCAGTCGCAGCGGAAGCGAAGAGAGCGAAGGAGGAAGTGGGGGCGGCTACCTGGGGATAGGAAGCCAGGAGCGGGCGGAGCAGGCAGGCGGGCGGCCGTTTGGGGTGGGGGGTCAGTGACTCAGTCGTCTGCATTCAGGGCAGGTGCTGGCTCTAGTGCTGGTGGCCGCTCTGTGGGGTGGCACGCAGCCGCTGCTGAAGCGGGCCTCTGCCGGTCTGCAGCGGATTCATGAGCCGACCTGGGCCCGACAGTTGCTACAGGAGATGAAGACCCTCTTCTTGAATACTGAGGTGCGTCTGTGAAAGTCCCCGCTCTCGGGGGAGTTGCCGCCAAGAATTTGGTCTTTGGGGTCAAACAGGTCTGTGTCAGCCCCACCACTTACTAGAAACTCTCCAGAGTCACTTGTCCTTCAGTTTCATCATCGGTAAATGGTGATTATAATAATAAACATCTGGGCCGGGCGTGGTGGCTCAAGCCTGTAATCCCAGCACTTTGGGAGGCCGAGGCGGGTGGATCACGAGGTCAAGAGATCGAGACCATCCTGGTCAACACGGTGAAACCCTGTCTCTACTAAAAATACAAAAAATTAGCTGGGCATGGTGACGCGTGCCTGTAATCCCAGCTACTCAGGAGGCTGAGGCAGGAGAATTGCCTGAACCCAGGAGGCGGAGGTTGCGGTGAGCCGAGATGGCGCCATTGCACTCCAGCCTGGGTAACAAGAGCGAAACTCCGTCCCAAAAAAAAAAATAAATAAATAAAAAATAAACATCTGATAGGGCAGTTACGGGAATTAGGTGAGATACCCAGCGCACTTAGCATTGGGCCTAGAACATAGTAAATGCTCTATGGCTACCATTATTCATATTTTATTATTGTAATTCCTCCAGTTATGTAAGGCAACATTTGTGACCCTTTCCAGAGGGAGGGCTTGGGGCTCAAATTGGCCCTGCAGGGGAGGAGTTCAGAGGAGGGAGGCTGTATATGGAGGACTTGGGGAAGGCTTCCTGGAGGGGCTGACATTGGCCTCAGTGCCTTGCAGGATGGGAACCAGCAGAGGTGAGGGAGAGGGTAGTTTGAGCAGAGGCACAGAGTTCAGTCTGTTTCCCTCTTTGTCCTGGAAGGGTCCTCCTTAGAGGGCCTAATGTTCTCTGGGTCTTATAACCCTCACTCCAAGAAAAGGCATATGCTAGAAGCTCAAAGAAGGCAGTGCTGCTCATTCAGGCCTTCACACTGATGCAGGTTTCTCCTCTTTCCAGTACCTGATGCCCTTTCTCCTCAACCAGTGTGGCTCTCTTCTCTATTACCTCACCTTGGCATTGACAGGTGGGTCCTGGCTTGGAACTGTTCTGCTTCGTGTTCGAGGCCACCTGTAAGAGTGATTTGTTGGGTGGAGCTTGAAACACCTCATTCCCATCAGTGAGAGAGGGCTGACTAGCCTTAGTTCCCTCCTAGTGTCCTCTTCTCTGAACAAGAAGGGCACAGTGGGCTGGTTCTGAGTATGTTGCTAGGCACTGGGGTTGGTTTGAAGCCTGGCAGTCTTGTGTGACAGCAGACGAAGAGGGAAGGTTCATTCTGCTGTGCCAAGTGCTGGCTTTCACACTCTTGGTTCCACTGTGTGCTCCCTGCCTGACCATGAGCAAGTTCCTCATTTGAGCTTTGGTTTTTTTGTTTGTTTTTTGAGACAGTGTCACTCTTGTGGACCAGGCTGGAGTGCAATGGCACTATCTCAGCTCACGGCAACCTCCGCCTCCCGGGTTCAAGCGATTCTCCTGCCTCAGCCTCCTAAGTAGCTGGGCTTACAGGCATGTGCCACCATGCCTGGCTAATTTTTTAATTTTGTAGAGTTGGGTTTTTTTTTGTTGTTGTATTTTTAGTAGTGCTGGGATTACAGGTGTGAGCCACCACACCCAGCCTGAGCTTTGGTTTTATACAATTGGCTTCATAGCATTGTGAGGATTAAATTTAATCCCAGCACTTTGGGAGGCTGAGGTGAGAGGATCACGAGGTCAGGAGTTCAAGACCAGCCTGGCTAACATGGTGAAACCTATCTCTACTAAAAATTATTTTAAAATAGCCAGGCGTCATGGTGCGCACCTGTGATCCCAGCTACCAGGAAGCTGAGGCAGAAGAATCAGAAGAATCATTTAAACCCAGGAGGCGAAGGTTGCAGTGAGCCAAGATCACGCCATTGCACTCCAGCCTGGACGACAGAGCAAGACATCATCTCTTTTTCTCCTTTTTTTTTTTCTTTGTGACTTACTGGTTCTATCTCTAGAGAGACTTCATCTCAAAAAAAAAAAAAAAAATGAATGAATGAAAAACATTTAGGAGAGTGCCTGATGCTCAGAGCTCCATATACATAAATTTCTTTTATCTTAGAAAATGAAGTTGACGTCCAGGCTTGGTGGCTTGGCCGGGCATGGTGGCTCATGCCTGTAATCCCAGCACTTTGGGAGGCCAAGGCAGGCGGATCATGAGGTCAGGAGATCGATACCATCCTGGCCAACATGGTAAAACCCCATCTCTACTAAAAAAAAAAAAAATATATATATATATATATACACACATATATATATAAATTAGCTAGGT